GCTCCTTGTCCTCGTATTTCCGGCTCCTTGTCCTCGTATCCCAGCTCCTTGTCCTCGTATCCCGTCTCCTTGTCCTCGTATCCCAGCTCCTTGTCCTCGTATCCCAGCTCCTTGTCCTCGTATCCCAGCCCCTTGTCCTCGTATCCCGGCTCCTTGTCCTCGTATCCCGGCTCCTTGTCCTCGTATCCCAGCTCCTTGTCCTCGTATCCCAGCTCCTTGTGCCTATACCTCTTCCATATATAATCCTACTGACTTTGGGGGTTTCTCCTGATTCAGTTGAAATCAAAGTTGATCAAAGAATAGTGACATAAAATCTAACATTTTGACGTATATATATATCTCTCCCTTGACACACAAATGTTGACCTTTGCTTCAATAACATGTATTCAATTAGAGTTCGCTAAAGCTTCTGTAACATTGCTAAATCGTTAATGTATTATTTTGTTCTGTGGGGGGGGGGTATAATACAGCCGGCTCATGCCATACTTGCATACCATCTTATTAACAGTAACCCAAACACGGTAAAAGTTACGACGTTTCGGTCTGTCCGAGCCCTTCATCAAGTCCTAGGGGCCCTTAGCAAGTCCTAGGGGCCCTTAGCAAGTCCTAGGGGCCCTTAGCAAGTCCTAGGGGCCCTTAGCAAGTCCTAGGGGCCTAGGGGCAAGTCCTAGGGAGGAGGTCATTGCAACTGGGCAGATGCAAATAACCCCCCAAACCCCAGACTTGTAAGGTGACAGAGGCGAGGTTTCAGTCACCTTTGGAGGCTTATCACCCTGTGGCAAGGAATCTTCTTAAGATGATTTCGGGGCTTTTTAGTGTCCCCGCGGCCCGGTCCTCGACCAGACCTCCACTGGTCTGGAAGAGTGAGAGGTTGGTATAAGGCGTCCGTCTTGCCTTATATTGACTCTATCTCTTCTTTGACAGGACTTGATAAGGGTCCAGGACTTGATAAGGGTCCAGGACTTGATAAGGGTCCAGGACTTGATAAAGCCCCAGGACTTGCTAAGGGCCCCTAGGACTTGCTAAGGGCCCCTAGGACTTGCTAAGGGTCCCTAGGACTTGCTAAGGGCCCCTAGGACTTGCTAAGGGCCCCTAGGACTTGCTAAGGGCCCCTAGGACTTGCTAAGGTCCCCTAAGACTTGCTAAGGGCCCCTAAGACTTGCTAAGGGCCCCTAGGACTTGCTAAGGGCCCCTAGGACTTGCTAAGGGCCCCTAGGACTTGCTAAGGGCCCCTAGGACTTGCTAAGGGCCCCTAGGACTTGCTAAGGGCCCCTAGGACTTGCTAAGGGCCCCTAGGACTTGCTAAGGGCCCCTAGGACTTGCTAAGGGGCCCCTAGAACTTGCTAAGGGGCCCCTAGGACTTGCTAAGGGGCCCCTAGAACTTGCTAAGGGGCCCTAGAACTTGCTAAGGGCCCCTAGGACTTGCTAAGGGCCCCTAGGACTTGCTAAGGGCCCCTAGGACTTGCTAAGGGCCCCTAGGACTTGATGAAGGGCTCGGACAGACCGAAACGTCGTCACTTTTACCGTGTTTGGGTCGGGTTATTTTGTGACATACGATGTTTGCAGGAAAGTTTCTGCCCTACAGCGGCTGCAGGTTAGAAAGTTCAGATCTGTGTTCACTACAAGGTTAAGGCTGTAGAAGTTCCTCTTGGCTACACTCTCTTTTAATGCTACACTTCAATGTTTATTTTAACATCTCTCCCGCAACCTAACACGCTCACAACGTAATAACGTTATTGTTAATTTTTTAACAAGTAGCAAAGTTAACGATGTGCTTACGTTTTGTGTGTGTGTTAGGAAGTTTGAGTATTTCGAACTCGGCGCTAACGAAGTTCATCGCCTTCAGAATATCGAACTTGTGGTCGTCGCCGAAGCGCAGCCACCGGTACGAACATGCTTCAGGCCCTCAAATCTCCTCCAGAATCGTTATCGGCGCCAGGGACGATGCGGACGATTACATAGATAACGCCCTCACCCCGCAGAGGCGACGAGGGACACCGGTCGTCGAGCGCCGCTCTCGAACTAAGGTTTGTGTTCTGAATTTTAGCGTGAAGAACTTAAGAGCCTTTGTGTGTGTCTGTGTGTGTGTGTGTGTGTGACATTTTTTTGACTCTTCTGTGCCTTGCTGTCTGTTTTCAACATTATTTCGTTAACATGTATGTAGATTAAGCATTTTTTTTAACATTTTGGTGGCAACTTGTTTGAAAATTTTAACTATAAGCAACATTTTTTAGCGTTTGACTTTTAACCCTGGAGGTAGAAATGTTCCTTGAGCAAAGTACCAAAATTTTAACAGTAGTTAACTTGCTTCTTGAAAGCAGGTTTGAATTAACATTATCATCATTCAGTGTAGCATTTTGACAACTACTACTGAAGCCATTAGTGTCCAAACTACAGTTCCTGAAGCCAAATCTAAACCCAGTTCACGTAGGATTTTATTTAATTTGACGTTAATAATCCTCTAGGTTGATTGACCTTAAGCCTAACACCAAACTCGGCAGAAGTGTGAATATTTTCGGTCATCTATACCCAACCAATTAGGCTAGACGGTAGAGCGACAGTCTCGCTTCATGCAGGTCGGCGTTCAATCCCCCGATCGTCCAAGTGGTTGGGTACCATTCCTTTCCCCCCGTCCCAAATCTTTCTACTGATTTCTTTCAAGTACTACATAGCCGTAATGGCTTGGCGCTTTCTGTTGATAGTTCCTGGCCCCCTTGTATTCATGTGTACTGCAGAAACCACCAGGAACGTTTGGGCACTAGTGGACAACCAATGTATTTCTCGTACATTTGTAAAATATGTTTTTCGTTGTATCAAATCTCACGTGTGACGGTACACTGTGGAGCCAAACAGCATGAGTGTAAACAAATACTTAAGACAGCTTGCTACATACTTACATAAGTCTTCCTCACCATCTGATGCCATTTCTTAAGATGCCACTCTTTTTCTTCTCTATGGGTTGATCACCTTCCCCCCTCCCCCTACCCCCGTGTCTTCTTGGCCATCTGTCTCACTTTATAATGAAAACATAATCCTTATCCTCTTAATTCCGTCTTGCATTATATTTCTAAACGAGTATACCGAGATTTGGATCAGTCATTGGTATATCACTTTCCAGCTTTTCAAGGTAAACTCAAATATTCACAATCAATTAGTATGTCACATATGCACTTATTGATAAGCCAATATTGACTATATGCAAGTCCGAGAACGGGTTACACTTTCAACGCCATCTTGCGTCTTTGATGGGAGTTGATGACTTGTGACTCGGGTTAGCAGGCTTAGAGCTCGCCTTAAGCCTGCTAACTCATCTTAAGCCATGCTCTACAGTGAGAAAATGTTGGAGCAGTGCAATGAGATCGAACCATTGTTCTTAAACCCCCCAGCCGTTTGCACACACTAGGACGACTAGGACGCGGGTTCGATCCCATTGTGCACCTTCAATATTTCCTCATAGATACATCACACTCCTATCATTGTGCTTACCAGACTAGTTTCCCCCCTGGAATAAAACCCGTCAATGGGTTTACAACCAGGTCCCCCACCAATGAGACACTCATTCTGCTTGTGCTATACACCCTACATACCACTGCTTGAGCCTTCAGATGCGCCCTGTAACCCCTCCTGTGCTTCCCCCCGTAACCGGTTCACTATGTCATCCTCTCAGAGTTTGCACAGCTCCGGTAGAAGGGTTCGGCTTCGGCAGAGGACGCCAGTCCAGGCTAACACAAAACCGGTGCCCGTCATGTTCCGGAATTCTCTTGTGAAGGTAGTGGCAAGTGGCTTGCTTTCTGTATGTGCATGGGTGTATGTGTGGGTGTGTATGTGTGTATGTGTGTATATTCACTAATTTGTGCCTGGAGGATTGGGTTTCAGCTCTTGTATGCCTGTTGTCTATTGCTATAATTTCCGACTAATCTTTCTATCATGTCTTCTTTTGAAAGTATGATTGGAGTTGGCTTCTCCAGATTGCTCGTTTCGTCTGTTCCATCTTCCTGTAATTCTTGTACTAAAAGAAGTTTATCTCGCCTGATTGCTCTTCACTCTTGCAATGTTACTTACATTTATTGCATTCTCTCTTACACCTAACCATGTCATTGTAGAATGAGCCTCAGGGCAAACTTCTGAACCTGTTCTACTTTTCTAATATACTTTTTCCAAGGGAACAGGGCTGGTCTCAGGATTGGTCTCACACAGGTGGCCTCCACTTTTCTGAATGCCTCCTTATTTAGGTTCCTGAATGCCATTTTAATATTGGACAGTCTAGTCAGTCTGTCATTTACTGACATTTTCTCCTCCGCTTTTGCATAATCTAGTCACTTTAATATTTCTTGTAGTAACTTCAGTAGTAACTTGAGTAGCTTTTGTAGTAACTTCAGCTGTATCTTTGCTTTGGATGCACTGTCTTTTTGAGCACCAAGTGAATGTTTTCCTTGTGTTCATGTCTAGAGGAGTTACAGTATTTTTACATACATATAAGGGACTAATGTGTGTGTGTTTCACGTTGGTCTGATGTTTATGCCTTTAAATGAGATGTGTGTGTTTCCAAAATGTCCAAATAATGTTCATACATTTTTAAAATAAATACAGCATGCTGTAGACTGTACGAATGGGTGATTTCCATGTGTTTGAAGGTATGATCTATGGCAGGTTTGTATGGTAGAGTCTGCTACCATTGTTTTTGAGTGTGTATGGTAGAGCTTATACTATAAGCCTCTGAACTTGTATGGTAGAACCTGTTCCATATGCTTTCCCTGGCCCATCACCTGTATTCTATTTTACCTGTTTGTCAACCACTTGACAAGGAAGGCAACGGAGTTTGGCCTCGGAGATAGAGCCCGATAGGCCTCCATTATTTTTATTATTCTTCCCCCTCTACCCCCCACCACCCCCCACCACCCCCACCACCCCCCACCACCACCCACCACCACCCACCACCACCCCCCACCACCACCCACTACTCCCCCCTACCTTAAAACCCGCCCTCCTCGACCCCCATCCCAGCCTACCCATCCATTCTTAAGGCTCACATTCAGGAGGATATCAGAAGTGTCTATATCCTTGATCATTAAGACATGTTCCTCCCAGCCTCTCCTCTAAATTGTCTTCCATTGCTTCCACTTCCACGCCGACTTAGAGGTTCTTGATGTACAGATCAGCATTCAGGAATTGACACACACGCACTATCAATGTGTGTGTGTGTACAAATCCACAAGGGCCGTGACGAGGATTCGAACCTGCGTCCGGGAGCATCCCAGACACTGCCTTAATCGACTGAGCTACGACAGGGTAAAAGAGGGTGGGTGTATGGGTAAAAATGAGTGTGTGTGTGTGTGTTCCCAGGTTTATCTGTGTGTGTAAATTGTGCTTATAGTTGTGTGTGTGTGTGTGTGTGTTTGGGGATATAAATACTTACAGAATTTGGATTGAGTATTCATTTTAGACAGTCCTGTCTGTCTGTGTCTCTCTCTCTCTCTCTCTCTTTCTCTCTGTGGTACGTGTAATACCATACTGACCCAAGTAGCTTTGTGATGTGGTGTGGTGTGTGACTGACCTTTCAGGCCACCGACCGTCACGACGGCTTCTCGGGCCAGAACAGTGTGGTTCCAAAGGCCTCCCGTGTCCCCCAGTCACCCACCGTGGTGGAGGTGGTGCAGCGTCCGGGTACCATCAAGAAGATACCGGAAAGTCTGAGTTACCCCCGTAGAAGTGTTCGCTTTAGTCAGGTAAGCGCTGGCAACGATCGGGTCGGTGTTGGGTCAACCCGTTTTCCTAATAGAATGTCGCATTTTGACGTATACTCTGTAGGCTTTAAGTCACAATACCGTGGCTAAAGTATGTTGACCAGGGGCCAGATTCACGAAAGCACTTACGCAAGTACTTACGAACGTGTACATCTTTCCTCAATCTTCGACGCCTTTGGTTACATTTATTAAACAATTTATAAGCATGAAAACTTGCCATTCAACTGTTGTTATTGTCATAAACAGCCTCCTGGTGCTTCGGAGCTCATTAACTGTTTAATAATTGTAAACAAAGCCGCCAAAGATTGAGAAAAGGTGAACAGGTTCGTAAGTGTTTGCGTAAGTGCTTTCGTGAATCTGGCCCCTGACCACACACTAGAAGGTGACGGGACGACGAAGTTTCGGTCCGTCCTGGACCATTCTCAATCGACTTGAGAATGGTCCAGGACGGACCGAAACGTCGTCGTCCCTTCACCTTCTAGTGTGTGGTCTGGTCAACGTATACTCCACCTAGGGGGCAAAAGTTGTAGGTTATCCTCTGGTAGGTTAGGGTAAGGGCACTTTAGCACGATAGTTTCCTGACGTTGGGGAAACAGGAGGATAGGGTAGGTGGGTAAGCTCTTACCTATTGGGTAGAGAGCCATGCACAATTTCACAATTATTGGTTTAACTGGTGAGTTGGATAAAACTTGGACCTCAGGCTGCTAGGATAAGACCTGACCCTCAGGCTGCTAGGATAAGACCTGGCCCTCAGGCTGCTAGGATAAAACCTGGCCCTCAGGCTGCTAGGATAAAACCTGGCCCTCAGGCTGCTAGGATAAGACCTGACCCTCAGGCTGCTAGGATAAGACCTGACCCTCAAGCTGCTAGTATAAGACCTGACCCTCAGGCTGCTAGGATAAGACCTGACCCTCAAGCTGCTAGTATAAGACCTGACCCTCAAGCTGCTAGTATAAGACCTGACCCTCAAGCTGCTAGTATAAGATCTGACCCTCAGGCTGCTAGGATAAGACCTGACCCTCAGGCTGCTAGGATAAGACCTGACCCTCAGGCTGCTAGGATAAGACCTGACCCTCAAGCTGCTAGTATAAGACCTGACCCTCAGGCTGCTAGGATAAGACCTAATTACGCTCAGAAAAGTTTGTGTAGAAAAAATAATAATAATTGAATTCAACTGAAAAGATTTCACTAAAGATACTATTCAAATACATTTTTTTTAAACAACCTCATGTCCAAAACAAATAATTAAAGACAGATAAGGGAATTATAGGGGAATGTAATTATTAGGGGGAAAACACCAAGCCATTACGACTATATATAGCAATTAGAAGGGGTCAGGATAAGGATTTGGGATGGGACGGGGGGAAAGGAATGGTGCCCCAACCACTTGTGGACGGTCTCGGGGGATTGAACACCGACCTGCATGAAGCGAGACCGTCGCTCTACCGTCCAGCCCAAGTGGTTAATCAAAGACAAAGTCTATATTCCTGAGTATTTTAAGGTAGTTTAGCCTCAATTTATTCATATTTAAGGACTATTTACACTATTCTATATACATTTGTTATTTTATTTTCCTTCGTCCTTGCATGAATCGCCCGTTGCTGATGTTCCTATGTTGGACTGGACTGCCTGTCTTCTTGAACCTGTTCAACGTCATGGCACCTTGGACTTGCTCGACGCCGTGTGCATCTTGGACGTAACTGTGTTGGTCTTGGCGCTTCAGGACACGAAGAAGAAACCCAGGAAGAAGGTTGGCCACGGCCAACGCCGCCGCCAGCGGACATCAGGCTCCCTGGCTCACTTTGAGGCCGCTCCTTCTAACAGGACTTCACGACACGGTACTCCATGCTCTCTGGTTACTCCATGCTCTCTCTCTGGTCACTCCATGCTCTCTGGTCACTCCATGCTCTCTCTGGTCACTCCATGCTCTCTGGTCACTCCATGCTCTCTCTGGTCACTCCATGCTCTCTGGTCACTCCATGCTCTCTCTGGTCACTCCATGCTCTCTCTCTGGTCACTCCATGCTCTCTCTCTCTGGTCACTCCATGCTCTCTCTCTCTGGTCACTCCATGCTCTCTCTCTGGTCACTCCATGCTCTCTCTCTCTGGTCACTCCATGCTCTCTCTCTCTGGTCACTCCATGCTCTCTCTCTGGTCACTCCATGCTCTCTGGTCACTCCATGCTCTCTCACTCTGGTCACTCCATGCTCTCTCTCTCTGGTCACTCCATGCTCTCTCTGGTCACTCCATGCTCTCTGGTCACTCCATGCTCTCTCTGGTCACTCCATGCTCTCTCTCTCTGGTCACTCCATGCTCTCTCTCTCTGGTCACTCCATGCTCTCTCTCTGGTCACTCCATGCTCTCTGGTCACTCCATGCTCTCTGGTCACTCCATGCTCTCTAGGCGTCTATAAAGATTAATATTACTTAAATTGAACCATTTTATGGTATGTATATATTAAATATTTGGCTCATAAGTGTGTATTTTTTTGTATGTTATACTCTTTAACGTAAATAAACAAATGCATATGTAATATTTTATTATTAGGAACATTAAAGTTAATTCATATTATGTATATATTACTTGATATTATATTCGATATTTTCTTACCATTCACTCCTGTTTATCCGGATTCTCCCTTACCTCTCTTCGTCTCCTTGGTCCCTATTCCGTCTCATTCTCGTCCTCCCTGTCTCCTATTCCGTCTCATTCTCGTCCTCCCTGTCTCCTATTCCGTCTCATTCTCGTCCTCCCTGTCTCCTATTCCGTCTCATTCTCGTCCTCCCTGTCTCCTATTCCGTCTCATTCTCGTCCTCCCTGTCTCCTATTCCGTCTCATTCTCGTCCTCCCTGTCTCCTATTCCGTCTCATTCTCGTCCTTCCTGTCTCCTATTCCGTCTCATTCTCGTCCTCCCTGTCTCCTATTCCGTCTCATTCTCGTCCTCCCTGTCTCCTATTCCGTCTCATTCTCGTCCTCCCTGTCTCCTATTCCGTCTCATTCTCGTCCTCCCTGTCTCCTATTCCGTCTCATTCTCGTCCTCCCTGTCTCCTATTCCGTCTCATTCTCGTCCTCCCTGTCTCCTATTCCGTCTCATTCTCGTCCTCCCTGTCTCCTATTCCGTCTCATTCTCGTCCTCCCTGTCTCCTATTCCGTCTCATTCTCGTCCTCCCTGTCTCCTATTCCGTCTCATTCTCGTCCTCCCTGTCTCCTATTCCGTCTCATTCTCGTCCTCCCTGTCTCCTATTCCGTCTCATTCTCGTCCTCCCTGTCTCCTATTCCGTCTCATTCTCGTCCTCCCTGTCTCCTATTCCGTCTCATTCTCGTCCTCCCTGTCTCCTATTCCGTCTCATTCTCGTCCTCCCTGTCTCCTATTCCGTCTCATTCTCGTCCTCCCTGTCTCCTATTCCGTCTCATTCTCGTCCTCCCTGTCTCCTATTCCGACTCATTCTCGTCCTCCCTGTCTCCTATTCCGTCTCATTCTCGTCCTCCCTGTCTCCTATTCCGACTCATTCTCGTCCTCCCTGTCTCCTATTCCGTCTCATTCTCGTCCTCCCTGTCTCCTATTCCTCACGGAAAGTAGGGTATGGCGGTAGACAAATACACGAAGAATGGTCTCCGGCTGTCTGGATGGACAAATTGGGCCTCAATCGCAAATACACACTTAACCATGGAAAGGTGACGGTCAGGGAAGCCGGACTCTACTACCTCTATGCTCAGGTAAGTCCTGTTTTCTCTTACGGCTTTTTTTGTTTTAGTTTCTGCTGTAAAGTTTCTTTTTCCGTTTTCTCTTGTGATTTTTTTGTCCCGTTTTCTCTTGTGGTTTCTTGTTTGAAGTGAATTATTTCTCATAGTTCTCTTTTTCTGGTTTACCATTGTCGGGTTTACATCTTGGGGTGCAACGGCATTATCTATTTAATAATTAATATTTTGTTTTCGCGGGGCAGGCAGCTAGTGTATGTATATATATTAGGTTTGTGTCAATGTCCCCCCACCAATGTGGAACTACTGACCATACACAGAATGCAACCCCACAACAGTTGCCTAACTCCCAAGTACCTATTTACTAATGGGTCAATAGAGGAATTAGGCGAAAGGAAGCGTGCCTAATCATTTCTGTCCGGCCAGTTTCGAACCCTCAAGATTCCCGATAGTTGAGATGGAACCCAAGTGTCTACCACGTAGCCCGTCCTCCAAAGAGCCAAAAGTGATTCCGTGCACCCGCCAAACCCCCTGTTTATGCAACCCGTTCGCGACTCGAGTTCATTCCATCCAGCGGTCGACCCCAGATGCATTCATAAATTTTAACATGCTGTTCATTCAAAACAGGAATTTTCTATAAATATAAATTAAATATTATAGCATATTGTGTATATATACGCAT